TTTGAGTTTCCAAGTCACAGTAACGTGGCTTATGGTCCTGGTGTCACAGCTCCTCAGGGGCATCCATTTCTTAGTGGTTAAGTGGGATTAGGGCAGAATTTTCAACAGTTTCCGAAATGTCCCTAAGCAATTCTATAATACAAATTTTGTAAATTAATTATTTGTGCAAAGTGGAATTCTCAAAATTGATGATTATAAAATCAAAATATTGATCAGACTTGGAATAGATATGCACATTTATAATCCTAGAACTTGAGTGGTGAGGCAGGAGGGTCAGGGGTTCAAGGCCAGCCTAAACTACATAGCAAGTTAGAAGACATCTTGGACCATATGAGCTTCTAAAACACAAAACAAAATGAAACAGAAACAAAGCAAAAACCAGAATAAATAAATACATAAATGGTTAAACTCTGAAAAACATCGAACATACTCTAACCCTGCATTACCAACTATCTACTTAAGATTTATTCCTTATGTAAAAATAAACAAGCACATCCATTTAATTAATATGAAAATTTGTTTTCATCTTTCATAAATGGCATAATTGTATGGTAAAGAGTTGCTTAAACACTTTTTGTCATGATTTATCATCACTAAATATTTGAATTTGCATACTTATTTTATAAATCAATTTTCCCAGGGTCCTACAAATTTCTAGGGTGAAACAGTGTGGCAAAGTAGAAAAAAGCAGCCCTGGTATAAAATACAAACACATATAAAACAAAATAGAAACATAAGTCAACGCGGTGACAAAGCAATGCAAAGCAAAGTGAGCTGAAATTCATAATTTAGAGGAGTGTATGTGCAGTGTGCATGTGCGCGCACACTCACACAGGGTTTTATGTGGAATACATATTGGGGAAGTTGCTTATAGAGATTCAACTTTACTTTTCTAGATGGCTATACTCACTTGTCCTAAATCATCTGCTGAATAATCTATCTTCCACACTGATGTGAAATGACAGTGATATTTTTAAAACTAGGCTTTCATACAAGGTATTTTCCAAATAAGCTCAATCTAACCCACTACCCCCCCCCCCCAATATGCAGGGACTTATTATATTTTTGAAGTTCTATTTATTTCCCCCTACAATTCCAACCTTAGCCAAATCTGGGTGGCTGTTGTCACCATGGGATATCTCCAGCATTACCTCATCACAGACATGAGACTGCAAAGATGATACTTGAGGTGCTGGTCTCAGGAGTCATGACACAGTGCCTTGGGTGTTTGTGGAGGACATTTTAGGAGAGCTGAACCACTCTGAATTTGGCACATTTCTGAACATAGCCTACCTACCCAGTATGTTTAGAGAAGTAATAATGTATGCAATTTTCAAGGTAGAGTTGTACCAGTGCGTTGGAGGAGGCCGCTAGTTAATTCCTGGCCACTAAGCCCTGAAATGATCACACAGAAACTGTATTATTTAAATCACTGCTTGGCCAATTAACTCTAGCTTTTTATTGGCTAACTCTTATATTTTAATTTAACCCATCTCCATTAATCTGTGCATCACTACAAGGTTGTGGCCTACCAGCAAATTTTCAGCACGCCTGTCTCTGGCAGTGACTCCATGGCTTCTCTCTCTGACTCCACCTCCTTTCTCCCAGCATTCAGTTTAGTTTTCCCCACCTAGCTCTGTTCCCCTATAGCTCTGCTATAGGCCCAAAGCAGTTCCTTTATTAACCAATGATATTCACAACATACAGAGGAAATCCCACATTACCAGTGGGTGTACCCCTCATGCCTCATTGACAGTTGTCCCATTTACTTCTGATTCCATCAGAGATAATTCATTTATTTGAGATCATTGGAATTTTTTTGTGTTAAAGTCAACAGCAAGACGTAGTATAGTGTGCTGACCAAAGAGAAGGACCTCTTTGGTAGGAGAAGTAGATTCATGTTTCTTATTTTGATCTAACCTAAGTAAACATACAGGTCAGGCTTGACTCATTTGAGCATCGGTTTGCACCTTCACCTATGGAAGGTTATTGGGTGTAAGGTTGTTCTACTTTCAGTAGAGTAGAAGACTGCGACCGTGTAGTGATGTGACTCCTCCTAGTTGTTCATTTCAAACATTCTTTTAATGTTTTCAGAGAGAGAGTCTCGCTGTGCTTCAGGCTCGTCTGACCTGGACTTTGCCCTGTAGTCCAGGCTGGCCTAGAAAAAGCAATCATCATTGTTCAGTCCCCTGAGTGCTAGAATTATAGGCATTGTTCATCATGCTTCATTGAAAAACTTCCTTATGTTGATTTCTGAACATATGGGAAAAAATTCTCCTGGTCATAAATGAAGAAGGCACAGGTATTATCTTATGAAGCTCATAAAAGACAGGTGTTTATGCTGTGCAATGGAATAGTAGTGTGAATTGAAGGTAGATCATGCCAGTCTTCTAATTCCAAATTGGAATGTGGGCTCTATGATGCACTCCAACTCACTTGTGAGACTAGTCCTAATGAATCCTCCTAGGGCGGGGTGTAAATACATTGAATGCTGGCAGCATTTCTTAAATCCTTTTTTCTAGAATGGTATTTAATTTAGAGTTATTGCTTATTTATTTTTGGAAGACTCTGGCTTGTGAGTAATTCCTAACAGTGTGAAAGCTGGGTTCATGTAGCAGCTTGAAAATCACCTCAGCTATAATGCTTTTATAGTGGCTCATTGATGACACCGCAAATGCTGGGGATGATAACACAACTCTGTGATGGTTTGGTTAAAACCTAATTTTTGAAAACGGTGTCTAAATGACATATGTTTAAAACATTTGAATCAATGTCTTCACCCTGGTTCTCCACCATCAGGCCAAGAAGTAATGAACCAATGACTTTGGACAGGTGAGTTTTGGTTAGTCACAGTTGAAAATAAGACAACACCTAAAATCCTGTTGGAAGTGAATGGGAAAAGAGGATCAATTCTTAAAAGTCAGAGCACGAGGTTAATGGGATAACTTTGATAATATAGACCTGCAGAAGGTTGCCAAGCCAGAGAGCAATGGGTCAAGAATATAAACAGAGTCTGGTGAACCTAGTGGAGCTTATGAAACACTTTCTGGCAAATAGCATGTGAAAGAAGGGCAGGACAAAAAGGACTCATGAGCATAGCACACTGTGAGTTTATACAACACTTGGCACTAATCATAGAGGTCACTGTACAGAATGCTATACATTTACTTTTTCTTTTTTTTTCAAAGTTTATTAAATTATGAAAGTTTCCATTTCCACCCCTCCTCCCAACACCCTCCCACTCCCCCTCCCCCCTCCTCCTCCCTCTCCATCCCTAAGAGCTGTCAGGATTTCCTGCCCTGTGGGTAGTTCAAGTTCCTCCCCCCTCCCTCCAGGTCCAGGAAGATGAGTATCCAAACAGACTGGATCCCAAAAATCCAGTATATGCAGAGGAAACAAGTCCCAGTGTCATTGTCAATGGCTTTTCAGAAAGGCTCCGGGCCAGCCACATTCAGAGAATCCGACCACATTCAGAAAATCTGGTTGGATCACATGCTCGTTCAATCCCAGTCCAACTGGCCTTGGTGAACTCTCATTAGATCAGTCCCCTTGTATCAGTGGGTGATCGCACCCCTCGCTGAAAAAGGCTACCTTCTGACTGGGAGAAGATCTTCACCAATCCCTCATCAGATAAAGGCCTGATCTCCAAAATATACAAAGAACTCAAGAAACTAGACACTAAAACTCTAATTAACCCAATTAAAAAATGGGGTGCTGATCTGAACAGAGAATTCTCAACAGAAGAACTTCGAATGGCCAAAAGACACTTAAGGTCATGCTCAACATCCTTAGTGATCAGGGAAATGCAAATCAAAACAACTATGAGATACCATTTTACACCGGTCAGATTAGCTAAAGTCAAAAACACCAATGATAGCCTATGCTGGAGAGGATGTGGAGAGAGGGGAACTCTCATCCATTGTTGGTGGGAATGCAAACTTGTGGAGTCACTGGAAATCAGTGTGGCGGTTTCTCAGGAAACTGGGAGTCAACCTCCCTCAAGACACAGCAATTCCACTCTTGGGAATATACCCAGAGATGCCCTATCATACCACAAAAGCATTTGTTCAACTATGTTCATAGCAGCACTATTTGTAATAGCCAGAACCTGGAAACAACCTAGGTGTCCCTCAATAGAAGAATGGTTAAAGAAGGTGTGGAACATATATACACTAGAGTTTTACTCAGTGGTAAAAAACAATGACATCTTGAATTTTGCATTTACTTTTTCATAGACTGAAAGAAAAGCGTCTGCCCACATGATTCCTGCCAAGTAAGAAATGAAAGAGAATAAGGTGGCTTGTGCCTAGTTTGAACATCACTGGAAGATAAAAACAAGTAAACAAAATTATGCCAAGATATAGTTATTTCTATCCATCCCGTAGTGCAAAGGTCTCTTGAGGTAACGTTTAAGAATATCAATTGAACTACTATTGGATGGCAGAGGGATAAGTGAGCATGTAGGCTTTCAGGGCTGAGAGGTAAGTCTAACAGTTAATTCATTGTTCGCCGAAGACCAAGGAACAGTTCAGTGGTATAATTCTTCCTTTGTTAGGATGAATATAGTCAAACAAATGTACTGAGTGCCGAAAACTTAAGCTTTTTTTTCAAGGAGAGAAAAGTGTTTACTGATAAAAAGGAATATATATTGCAATGTCTTCTTTCCTATTAATTTTCTTGAGTGTGGTCTCCTGAAGGTTTTAAAGCAGACTTCCTATTCAGGAAGCAGAGGCTGCCACAGTCTTTGATCTGGTTTACACTAACTAGTTAATCCTCTGTGCCCCAAACCTATACGTTTGAATTGCTTCATAGTGCTTATATACAGGAAGTAACTACAAAATCCCAACTTATTGGATGCCCAGCATCCAGCGTGTGGCGTACACAGAAGTGATTCAATCTAAGTTTGGGGCTGGTGATGAGTCGGTGCACAGGGGTTCCACATTAAGTCACAATTGGCTTTGTGCTGGAGAACGCATATCATTTGGTGTAATCAGGCCCAGTGGAGAGCTAGAGTTCTCGTAACAACAACACAGCACCCGATCACCCAGTTGTGACCGAAGAGGACTTCTGTGATCCCAGACTAGAAGTGTTGACTTGTCATGATGTCCATCCAAGAGAAGATATCCACAGCAGATTTGATGGAGAGCCTTCGGGAAGAGCTCACCTGTTTCATCTGTTTGGACTATTTTAACAGTCCAGTGACCACCGAGTGTGGGCACAGCTTTTGCCTGATGTGTCTCCTCAAGAGCTGGGAGGAGCATAGCACACCTTTATCTTGTCCTGAGTGCTGGAGGACTTTGGGAGCCCCTCATTTTCAAGCCAATGAGCGCCTGGGGAGACTGGCTAGCATTGGCAGGCAGTTGAGATCCCAGGTCCTGCAGAGCGAGGATGAGCAAAGCAGTTGTGGGAGAACACCAGGAGCCAGCAGGGTGTTCTCTGATGATGAACAGAGTGTAGTTAATTTCTCAACACCAAGTCATGGCATGAACAGAGCATATTTCTCCAACGAGACCGAGGAACAACACAAAGTAAGCTGGGTTGCTCAGTGTCAACCTCAGAGCGCAGAACTGGTCCTAACCCTTAATTCTCATAATGGTCTTTGTTGGTGATAGCCATGGGCATATATCTTCAGGGTAGTACACCACACACTGGCTTGGATCCTTCTTCCACCGTTTCTTTGAGAATATCAGTCATCTTCTAGTTGTTGGCTACTGGCCAATCAACATGTTAAACGAATACAAGTGACAAATCTTTACAGTGTACAAGAGCACAGCATCTATTGATGAGTTTTCCTGATCTTTTCACCCTCGGGTACTCTGCCAAGAGGTTTGTTTCTATTGCAGGAAAAACTCCAGGACATCATCAACCTTTTACGGAAAAAGAAGAAGGAAGCTCAGTCCATACTGAACCACGAAAAGGAGCGAGTGATGCTGTGTAAGGTCAGTGTCTGTCTGATGTTTGGGCTTGTGTGTGAGATGCCTGGTGAAACACCAGGGAGAGAGGACCACTGTGAGTCCTGCTTTGGGGCTGCCTGGCTTCCTGTGTTCACCTGGGGACATCACAGTTCTGCTCAACTTCTCTCTTCTTTATCTTCCTTGGCTAGCTGCTGTGATGAATCTGATTAATATTATTTAAAATACAAACAACAGATTTGCAAGACAGGATGGAAGCTGGTTTTAAAAACGAGTCTCTCAAATGCTTAGGGAAAAATTGTATGCAAATTAAAAGCAAGTAAAGCGGAAGGGACAATAATGGCATAATAGCAGATTGAATCATACTGGAACAAATGCCTAAGGTTAGTCACAGATTTGGATTTCAATTGCCTAGCTGTTAAAGCGAAGAATTAAATGTTTAATATGGCACAGTGTAGATATTAGGGCTGGGGAGGTGGTTCAGTGGGTTAAAAAAAAGCCCTTGCCATGCAAGTCTGATGACCTGAGTTTGGATATACAGAACCCACATAAAAGCCAGAAGGACAAGTATTTGTAATCTCTGTGGGAGGCACGCACATGCCGTGAGCACATACACATAGACACACACACACACACAAACACACACACACACACACACACACACGCACGCACACACTTCCTTGTGCATTTGAAGTGAATATTTGAATTTCCCAAAGACTCTGAGGAAGTTTGTTGATTTGAGGCATCCTCTCCCCGAGTAGCCCAGGCTAGATTCGAACTCCTGATTTTCTTTGTCTTAGCTCTCTAAGCACTGGGATTTCAGGTGTGCTGTACCACAATTCATGGCATACTCTGAGTTCTTTTATCTTGTTTTGGAAGACACAGTCTTGCTGCATGATCCTGGCTGGCCAGGAACTCACTGTGTAGATGAACAGGCTGACCTTAAATTTTGCTTCTATCCTCCTGCCTCTGCCTTCTGAGTGTTGGTTTTACATTCATGTGCCACCATGTCATCATAGATCTAGAACTTAATGGCAACTTTTTGTGATGTATTTCTTGCTTGTTATCTGATGCCAAGTTTGTTTTTAAAATCAATAAATGTCTAGTAACGTACACATACATCTTTCATAATTTTTTCTTTTTAAGTTTTATTTATTTTAATATGTTTCTCCTTTTAATTTTAATTTTTTTCTCAATTTTTTTCCTCTTTTAAATTTCATTTTATTTTTTCCGGGTATAGTGGCACTCACCTTTAATCCTAATACTCTGGGGGCAGAGGCAAGTGGACCTTTGAGAGTTCAAGGCTAGCCTGGTCTGCGTAGTGAGTTTCAGGACTATGTAACTATGAGTTACATAGTCAGGCCATGATTCTAAAAACAAACAAAAAACAAAAGACAAAACTTTTTCATTTTATTTTTGAACAGTGCTGATTACTACATGTCATACTTTTGGATTGTCTTTTTTTTTTTCGTGTCTTACAGTAGAAAAGACAGTTCTTAGATTAGAAAATCTGATAGTGTTGATTACTATGGACGTACACATTTTTCAAAACTCTACTCTTCATCCATCGAGTCAATAAAAGGTAGACATTCTAGGAGTGTTTCCGTTGCTAACATTGTGTGTGCATGTGTGCACGCGTGCTTGGGCACGCGCGCACGAGCATGCTGGAGCATTGATGTGCACATGCGATAGCAGGAGGAGACGAAGACGTGTAAGCAGGTCGTCGTGTCGGAATATATGAAGATGCACCAGTTCCTGAAGGAGGAGGAGCAGCTGCAGCTGCAGCTTCTCGACAAGGAAGAGAAGGAGAACGTGAAGAAACTGAGGGAAAATGAGATCCACCTGACCCAGCAAGTCAGACGCCTCAACAAGATGATTGGACGGATGGAGTCCACCTGTCACAATTTGACCTTAGAGTCTTTTGAGGTGAGGCAAAATTCAGGAGGATGTCAGGGAAAATGGATGGAAAAAAAAGCATAGTGACCTGCAGCACTTCAATCCATAGGAATTATATTTTCCAGTATTCATCTGAAAAATTAAGTTCTGTCTGAAAAGTAGTTTTCCTAAGGAACTGATTTTTCTGGGTATGAAATATTCTTCAAAAGGAAGAGAACTCAAACAAGGGGGAAAAAAGCCAAGCCCAGAGATGATTGTAGTTTCTTCTGGAGCTGTCTGTGCAAACTCAGCTTTGTCTAGAAATTCATTATTTGTTTGTAAGCTAGTGTGTATGGTCAATTTAGTCTCTTCAATGATCTGGGGAGGGTGAGCAATAGTGTCATATAGCCTAGAGGTGATTGTCATCTACAACAAGGACCTGGGGTAGCAAATATTTACTACTAAGACTCATGGCAGTTAAGGATATCTGTTGGTCCTACAGCTAAGAGGGGACAGAACCCATGTGTTCCTTGTGCCAAGCACAAGCACTGTTCCATCTTTGCTTACTGCCTCCCTAAGGTACGGCACTCATTAGCATCATCCCAGCCATAAGCCATGAGACCCACCTCAGCTTCACTTTCACTGATTCTCAGATTCTACAGAGCGCTGTCTAATTTTGTGTCTTCTGAATGACTAAACAACATCAAAAACCAGAGCATGGAATTGGTTTCAGCTCTCACTGAGTCATTTTTCTGAGTCATCGGAGTCTCACTGAATCATCTCCGGTTCTGGGACATGACGTTATTATTTGGCTTCATAATGAATGAGGGAAGGGGACTTAGGAGTTCCAGTTTTCTTTGAGAATATATTGGCTGTTATGGTTGCATAGGGGTGGGAGAGGCATGTTTTCAGTGATGTAGTCACTAGTAAGATGCCCATGTTTTGTACATAATCTCTAACCCATGCCCCCATAAATATCCCTAACTAAACTCATTGGGTCATAAACAAACAAACAAGTAATGTGAGTAGAATTACCCACACACTGGGAAGGGGATAAATAAGAGGGCAGATAAAAATCCCTCATTTACACATATGTATACATCAAAATATATTATGTCCATGTGTGAACGTGTCAGAATGCAATCCATTATTATGCATAATGAATTTACGTGAATAATGTTAAAACACATTTTAACAAAGACTTTTTAAGAGACAAGAGATTGCTTAGTGGGTAAAGTGACAGCTGCCAAGGCTGACCACCTGAATTCTGTCCATGGCTGGGATCCGTGTGGTACAAGGACAGACTCCATTAGCTGTCTTCTCACCTCCATATTTGTGCTGTGGCAAAGATCCTTCCCTATATACAAATAAGATGCTATTTTTTTTTTTTGTAAATCAAAAGCATGGATGTGAAAAAAGAACAGACGATTTTCTGGTCAGTGTGAGAAATACCTCATGTTCATCAAAACCCATCCTTGGGAGAAGCCATGGCTTTATACTCTTCTGTCCTGTCTGTCACACCCTCTCACGGTGTGCTGTGCTAGGTAGGACCAGGGAAGCAAATTCTGAGAAACTACCAAAAGACCGTGAAGAAAATGGATTTGGTGCTTGCTAGTGATTGACATGAATGGCTAGTAACCTTTTTTCCTTTCTATCCTTAGGAAGTCAGAGGAGCCATGGAACGGTAGGTTTCCATCACGTCTCCAGCGTGTGGCACATAGGAATCTGGTACTGATGAGAGAGTGTTGATGTGGGGATGAGGATGTGGATGTTGTTGGGGAGAGATGATAAGGAGCACGAGGTTGGACCAGGTCATGTAGCATGCATCAAGGAGAGAATGAGGCTCTCTTTTCTCTTGGAAGGTGTGAGTCACTGTTGCTTCAGTGTCCAGAGACCACCATCACGGAGCTGAGCCTGTGCCGTATCACTGGGATGAGGGAGATGCTGAGGAAATTCAGCAGTAAGTTCACCTCCTTGTCACATGTCCAGAGATTTCCATAGTTAAGTTCAGCACATGTTTTGGGCACCACTGAGCTCCTGGGTAGCTTCTTCTGGCATAAAATATTCTGATACGAGGCTCCCAGGTCCAGTATCCCTGAACTAGTGCTGAGCACCAAGTTACAAATACTGCCTGTGCTTGAGCCAAGAGGCAGAGAGCTTGTTTGCTGTTCTGTGAGGCTCTGCTTGCTGTCACTAGGTCTTCGGTCCTGCTTTTGTCACCTTGTTCTGTGATATGCACACCCCACACACACCACACACAAGAATCCTCACGGAGAGGATCTTCCTTTGTGAGCTCTCTTCCTGTTAGGATAAAAGCTGGTTTAAATGTTTTAGTTTTAATCTTTGTGTGCAGGCAGGGAGTGGTGTGTGTGTGTGTGTGTGTGTGTGTGTGTGTGTGTGTGTGTGTGTTTGCACGGGTTTATGTGCTATTCAATGGATATAGAGGTCACATGACAACCTTGGGGTAAGTCTCTGACTCTTTGTTTGAGGCAGGTCCTTCTATTTGTCACTCCCAGATGCTCTGGGAATATATTTGACTAGAAGTTGTCTAAGTTGGATTGTTATCTGTTATGGGAAACTAATACTATTGTTCAATGATGGACAATATAACCTGATTCATATTGGGATGGGGGGGTCCTGAGATTGCTAGGTGCATTGATTGGAGAGGGGTGTGTGTACACAGTGCACGCATGAAGGAGCTAGAATGTCAAGTACATTGTTACAGGAGGGTCTATATGGGAACAACTCAAAACCAAATGGGGTCCCAAACCTGCCTGCCTGTGTGCCTGCTTCAGTGAGGGCAAATGATCCCATCTGGAGTTAGTGAAATTTTGAGGCCTCTCGTGGACTTCCTCACAGGTGGGTGGAGGTGAAGTGCTCCCAGTAGCTCACATATGCGTTATGACATTGTCTCCATGGTGCTAACTCACACAAAGCTGCATTTGACCATGGTGTGCTGAAAAATAGGAATTAGAAATTTGCTGCTATAATAAGCAGTGATTTTGTAATCTTAGTAAAGTTGATCTCTAAGGATTCTATTTTTCTTTTAAATTTATTTTTATGTAATTGTTATGCATTTATTAGACAAGGTCTCATACATCCCAGGCTGGCCTAGAACACTCTGTGGAGTCAAGTGTGACCTTGAATTTCTGGTCTTCCTGATTCTACTTCCCGAGTGTGGTGACCACAGGTTTGTTTAATCACACCGGGTGTTGTGCAGTGCTGGGGATTGGACCCAGGTTTTCGTGCACATTAGGCAGGCATTCCACTAACAGTGCAATATCCCAAGGCCTCCTTTCAAATTGATTTTCTTTTTTCCTTTTAAATATTTGTTATTAGCTATTAGTATTTATGTGGGCCTGTGTGGGGGGTACACATGAATTCAGGTACCTGAGGAGGGCAGAGCTGTTAGGGCCCCTAGAGATGGCTTTTCAGGAAGCTGTGAGCCACCAGACAGGAGTGCTGGGGATATAATTCAGGATCTCTGGAAGAGAATCATGTACTTTTAACCATAGAGCCATCTCTCTAGCCCTTGTTATTTATTTATTTATTTATTATATGACAGAGTCTTGCTATGTAGCCCAGACTGTTCTCAAAGTTACGCAATCTTTCTGTTGCAGCCTTTCGAGTATTGGGATCACAGGCCTGTGCCATTTTGTCTGGGTTAACTTAAATTTTTATTATCATCACAATTATTATCATAGCATTGGGGATTGTACCCAGGGCATTGTGGATGCTAGGCAAGTACTCTGTCCCTGAGTTATATCTCTATAATTATTTCTTTAGAAATTAAATAATTATTAATTGTAATAATTGAGACAAGGTCTCATAGAGCCCACGATGGCCTCCAATTCACTATGTAACTGAAGATGACCTTAAACTTCTGCTTCTCTTGCCTCCATCTCCTGAGTGCACAGAATATAGGTATATACCATACAGGCCACCACACCTAGCCAGTATATATATTCATATATATTTCATATATATGAAAAATTATGATTGCCACAATGATGAAATGCAATAATACATAGAAATGCAGGATTTGAATTTAGAAAGAGTTCAATAAATGTTAATGAACAAATTAAAAAAGTTAATTAGCAAATGTTAATGTCTCTCTCCTTTCCAAACTGCAGAAACTGCTATGGCTAACAAGCAAGCACATCTTTGTATGGACAGATAACCTAAATTCCTCTCTAGGAAACCACTTGCCTTACACTTCCAGGTTCCTCTCACCCTGGCGAGTGTGCAGAGTCTCAGCATGTGATTATTCTATCTCTTCTGATAGCTTCGCTCTCTGTTCCTGGGGACAGACATGGTCTCATTACATACCATGGCAGTCCTCCTGAATAAACTTCCTAAATATTGGGACTACTGACATAAGACACAAGTCTACCTAGAGATGAACTCTTTTTCTTTTTTTTTTGCTGTTCTTTCTTCCTTTCTTTTTCTTTGTGCAACCCTGACAGTCCTGGAACTTACTTTGTAGATCAGGGTGTTTTGGAACTCACAGAGGTCTTGCCCGTGCCTCCCAAATGCTGGAATTAAAGGCATGTGCCACTACCACTAGGGTAGACTGTTTTCTAAAGAAGGCCATCTAAACAGATCCACTGAAATTACATTTAAAAACCTTTTTGCTTATTTTGAAATAGTGTCTTACACTATAAACCAGGCTGCTCTTGAACTCACTACGTAGAGCAGTTTGGCTTCAATCTTGGTTCTGAAACCAGATATTGCTGTGTAGCCCAGGATATCCTTTTATCTACCTTGTAGTCCAGGCTGGATTTGAACTCATACACTCTTGTTTTAAGTTTATAAGTGCTAGAATTGCTTGCCTGGCTAAAACCCAGATTACATTTAAAGAATAGATTTTGCTGGACTTGGTAGTTATGCCTAAGTCCCAGCACCGAAGATGCTAACACAGAAGAGAACCCAGCCTGGGTTGCTTAGTTATGTCCTATCTCAAAAACAAATAGATAATAATAGGACAAGCTATTAATGATTTAATTTAATATTAACATATATGGGAGGGTTCCAAGGACGTCCAACAATTCATTCTTTTCTCTTCTTGCAGCAGATGTAACTCTAGACCCAGCCACAGCCAATGCCTACCTAGTTTTGTCGGATGATCTGAAAAGTGTGAAATATGGAGGAACCAGACAACAATTGCCTGACAACCCAGAAAGATTCGATCAGTCTGCAACTGTGCTGGGAGCTCAGGTCTTCACCTGTGGGAGGCACTACTGGGAGGTGGAAGTGGGAAAGAAGACTGAGTGGGAAGTGGGCATCTGCAAGGACTCTGTGATCAGAAAGGGGAATCTCCCCAAACCCCCTGGGGACCTCTTCTCACTCATAGGCTTAAAGATCGGTGATGATTACAGTCTCTGGGTTTCATCGCCTTTGAAAGGTCAGCACGTCCGAGAGCCTGTGCATAAGGTCGGGGTGTTCTTGGACTATGAGTCCGGACATATAGCATTCTACAACGTGACGGATGAGTCCCTCATTTACAGCTTCCCATCAACCTCTTTCCATGAAGCTCTCAGACCCATCTTCTCTCCTTGTCTTCCAAATGAAGGGACAAATACAGACCCTCTTATCATCTGTCACATCTGAGGGATGTGTCCTGAACCTTTGAAGACAGAGCAAGGACCAGCCGAATCCTTGAGATGGTTAGTGCATTCAAAACCTTCACACCTCAGATAATCTGAAAAGGAAAAAAAAAGAAGAAAACGAAATCCTTCCTCCCCAAAGACTTCCCACAAACCCAGTACTGCGATGAAGAGTCAATTAAAAATCTATTCAACACCAAGAACTAAAAGCCGATACCCTGCCTTAACCCAGTCTGTTAACTGAGCTACCCTGTGTGTGTTGGCCGCTCAACATACATACTGTCCTCTTTGACCTGTCGGTCTGTCATAGACCAGGTTTACAAATACACATCATTTTTTTTCATTTGCTTTTCTAGCATTGTGCATCTTGTGCTTTTATCAGACACATATAAATAACATGCTTGGCTGCACGGTCACCTCAAGAGTGAGTTCCTCCATCTAGAGTGGGTGATGGAGACTTAGGATTCAACCTCCTCTAGAAAACTACTTTTCCCCACGAGGCTTGGACTGCTCATCCCCAGGAAGGCTTACAAGTTTAGTATGCTGTTTAGATTCGCTATGGTCATCATCAGACGATTAGTGTTACTATTATCTTAAAAGCCTAGAATTTTCTATAGTTTATTGCTGATAAAGGTCTGGTCAATAAACCTATTAAGGCAACGGATGCCGAATGGCTTGGGGTTTTAGCTGCGGGCGTTGGCTACACTTGATAACTTTCTGAGAGCAGAAGTCTTTTAGTCCCTGGAAGATGGATGTTAGCCTTTGCCATCTCAGAATGCCAGGGCCTGGGGGGATGGCAGCGAGTTCAGGTGGGACTCCTTTGAGTGGTCATACCGCCTGCTGGAAATGCATCCCACTTTTGTGGTCTCTACCTTTGGCATTTTTCTGTCTCTCTTTTTAAAAATAGAAATCTGCCTTACATTGAAGAATGTCACCAATCATAATGTCACAGAAAAGACAAGCCAACTGATAGGTCTTGACTACCACACAGCTGCCTAATTAAAGGTTTTCAGGGGGAAAATGTCATAGGTTTTGTCTAAAATAGAAACTAGGTGAGAGAGAGAGAGAGAGAGAGAGAGAGAGAGAGAGAGAGTTAATCTTGAGCCAGGCATGGTGGTGCATACCTGTAATCACTGTAATCACAGTGTGAATGGAGGCAGCAGCAGGATCGGGAATTCAAAATCAGTTTTGATTACACAGTGAGTCTGAGGCCAGCCTAGGCTTCACGGGGCCTTTTTTCAACAACGACATCAACAAAACAAACTCTATTTACTCAGCATGCAAGACCGACGTGAAGTCAGTAACGGGTTTGTGTTATGGGTCACGAGCATTCCTTTTCTCGATCTAAATCTACTTTTTCTTTTACTGTGATTCATTTCAACTTTGTGCCCCAGAAAGGGAGGGAACAGATATGGAGAACCAGCTTTAGATGCCAGAAAACACTCTCTTCTCTGTGTTCATATTTGCATTTTCATTCTGTCACGATACATAGTTCCAATCGATGAATGGGTTCGCACCATCATTTAGTGACAGTGATTTCTTTCTCATTTACTATCAAAATAAATAGTTCTTTTTATTTTTTTGAGACAGGGTTTCTTTGTGTACCCCTGGCTATCCTGGAACTTGCTCTGTAGACCAGGCTGTTCTTGAACTCAGAGATCCTCCTGCTGCCTGCTTCTGCCTCTCTGTCTCTCTGCCTCTCTGCCTTTCTGCCTCTGCTGGAATTAAAGGTGAGTAGCCCCATGTCTGGCCACTTTCCAATTTCTGTATACAGTATTCTGCCTGCATGTACGCATGCACACCAGAAGCGGGCACCAGACCTCATTACAGATGCTTGTGAGCCACCATATGGTTGCTGGGAATTGAACTCAGGACCACAGGAAGACAGTCATTTCTCCAGCCCCAGATTGTTACCCTCAAATCTCAGGTCATCCCTGGGTGGACTCAAACCACCAACCTTTAGGTTAACAGCCCAATGCACTAACTGATTACACCCCGGAGATGGTGCTCCAACTTCTATGGTCACTTCCTTATGTGAATATTTAGAATTGCTCTATTTGTAGCTGTCCCGACTGTATACAAGCATTTGAGTGTGTCTAATGATCCCCAGGTGTGTTTCCTGCAAGCTGAACAATGCCTGGCAGACCCCATGGCCCTGTATAGATGCTCCACACAGGCTTAGGTAGTCCCAAGGATTTTACTCATCGGTGTGTTAACGGAGCAGAAAACACAGATCTTATGCAAGGGTGAGAGTATGCTCTCTGTTCCGTCTTCCAGGAAGTACTGCCTGACGTGGTGATGCATGCCTTTATCCCAGCACTCAGGAGGCAGAGGCAGGTGGATTTCTGTGAGTTCAAGGCCAGCCTGGTCTACAGAGAGTTTCAGGACAGCCGGAGCTACATAGAGAAAGCATGTCTGGGAAAGCATATGTATAACCCAAGACAAGACAAGACAAAATCAGAAGGTTTAGTGAAAAAACTTGGAGTATGATTCATCACAAAGCATTTTGACTCTCACAGAGTGATTTGCTCCTCTGAAAGGTGAGAAGTACCTACGTTGTTGGTTCTCCTCGGCCCTGCAAGTGATTACTTCAAAAACTGTTTTCAGAAAGGGCTCAGGAAAAGCACAGGATATTCATGAAATATGAAAAATGGCACCAAATCATTTAGCATATATACAAGAAGGAAACCTGTAAAAGTCAGAAAAAGAGAGAAAAAAAAAAAAACCTTGTGAGTTAGTTTCTCATATTTTACAGAAGTCCTTTTGACCAAGCAGGCATACTGGCACACAACTGCAATCTCAGCACTTAGAAGTTGTGAAGGAAGGAGGTGAGGGATGGGGGGCGGGGGGAGGACGATTCTCACCCCCCCCCCCCCCCTCTAGGATGTCTAGGATGCCCTATAATAGATTTTAATTGGCTTCCAGTATGAAGCAAGGTTTTACGAGGCCCGAAGCTCATGCAAATGAAGTTATTTACAAGATTAAGAATAAAAAAATTACTACTAATAAAACAGGGTCAGAATCTCTAGCAAATGAGTGGCCTGACGCTTAGACTTCATTCCCTTTGTGTACATCCTTTTCTGGTTAGCCAGGTACAAAAACGAGGTAGAGAGGCCCGGCAGCAAGCCACCCTAGCTCCAGCTGCAGCTCTCTGCCCACTTCCTCTACCACCCCAGGCTGATTTCTCTATCTCCCTGTGCCTCAGTTTCCTCAGTAAAAATGAGCTTGAAATGTCTGCCTCAAGGGCAACCATCAAACAACTGCTCTTGTGCGGAGAGCATCACCTCCTTAACTCAGGAACTGTCAATCATTCATCCTTCCCTACTTTGCTTTGTCATCCCCAGCAGCCAGGCGGCTGCCTGTACCTCACAGTGCTGACACAGGCATCCCAGGCTCCTTGATCGCCTGCCTTGACTCTTTCCCCTTCCCCCACAGTCCTCAGGCTGCCAGTCCCCGAAACCCTCCTAGACAACAGACCTAGACCATGACATTTGAGAACTTGTTGTTTTGAGTTCGTGATTCTAATGTTGAAATTATTTTCTTATTCTGAGGCAGACTCATTTTCTAGAACCCAGGCTGACCTCTAGTTTCGACAGTCCTCTTCCTCAGCTTTCCAGTGCAGAGGCTACACATATGAGTTACCACACCAGGCCTGATTGTAATTCTTCCTTCTTGTACATTAGGAAAATTTCTGGAAAATTCTTAGACATTTTAGCTGTTCCTTTTTATGTTGTCCCTTCATTCTTTTCCTTCCAGTTCAAATAGCGTGATTGCTGCTATTCCCTGGCTTTACTGTGTTTTCAACAGACACAAAGTACTCACAAGTCTTAGTTTAAATGGAAATTCTGCTCTACCGTACTTTGTTTTGGTGAGGAGCGCCACCCTTCTCTTTCTCTTAAAATTATATTCAGGGTTAGAGTAACGGCTCAGAGGTTAAGAGTACTTGCTGCTTCTGCAGAGGACCAGCGTTCAGTTTCCAGCAGCCACACGGTGGCTCACAACCACCTGTAACTCCAGTTCCAGGAGATCCAGTACCCTCTTCTGATTTCCCTGGGCACCGAGAACACAGGTAGTTCACATATATACACACAAGCAAAGCACATTAAATAAATGCACCTTTAAAAATATATTAAGTTTTTGATTAGTATACAAACCAGCCGGTTTCATTATGACATGTTTACTCGTGTGGACAATTAGGCTTTGCTCACGTCAGACCTTATTTTCCTCTGACCACTCTTCCCTTGTCTCCTTCCTCTCACTAAAGAGTTCTGTGTTTGCTTTCAGGATAGCTCTTTGCAATGGCTCTCATTTCCCTGTCCTCCATCAGTATGGAAAGTCAATCATAGTGTGCTCTGCAGAGACAAGAGTCTGAGTAGTGCCAGGGTAGTGTGCTCTCTCTCTCTCTCTCTCTCTCTCTCTCTCTCTCTCTCTCTCTCTCTGTGTGTGTGTGTGTGTTAGGGGTATGCATACATGTGTGGTGAGGGGCCTGTTGTAGGGAGAGAATCTTTATAGGAGTTCTTGGCTCCCCTCCTTTTCCCTTCCATTTGTGTCCCTCTCCTTCAAATTTTCCTTCTTCTTGTCCCAACCCTCGCTGTCTTCCTGGATTTAGTTGCTCGTTTTTCAAGTCCTGTTTACAGAAGAGAGTCTTATTTGGTTTTTCAGGGTTCTTAGTTTCTGTCACTCCAGGACACCAATGTCCTTGAAGTAAACTCTCAGAGAAGAGCTTCAGGAAGCTCACAGGGAGCCCTCAGCCTGATGCTTTGAGATATTATCCCAACACAAGTCTATTTTCCTCCTGGAGAAACCAGGAGATCCTCCTGGCTAATCTAGAGGGATTCATGCTACTCTTACATCCATGCAGTTATTTTTATAATGCGTTCTTGCAAATTAATGAACATCATCAAAACCCAGTTAAGTAATGTAAACACCGAGAGCCATGCCACACACTGTGTCCTAAAGATTGAAATTGCTTTATTTCCTTGAGCTCAAGACTCTGGAGCTAGCGATGTAAGAGTCTGTCTTTCTTTTCAATAGATCTGAAGAACTGCTGGACTCAGTTAAAATTTTATGAGGTATTTTAGAGAGTAATTGTTAAATGTGCTGTCTCCTCAGAGGTGTTGGGAATGCTGTTTTTATCTGGCACGGCTTGCGTCTGTTGTTCAGGCTGGAAAAAGCCAATGGGCTGGAAATCCAAATGCTCAGTTTCTGTATGGAAATTGTGCCTTGGTAAAAATTAAAAAGACAAAAACAAGAACCCGAAACCCCAAAACCAAAACCCATGGCTGTCTTCCAGCATAGTTTGAGTCCCTGTGCAACATACCGAGAGGGAGTGTAGAAGACAGG